TATATCATGATGTTAGCTCCAAATTTCCTGAAGGAGTCAAAACAAGACAGAAAATTCCTTTTTTTCTATGCTGCAGGTAACTGGAAACAGAGAAGCAGCTTTGATCTCCTGTTTATCTGAAGCTTTGCCCTTTTCAAAATGTGGAAGTCTCTCAGAAAGTTCAACTAAGAAGGATTTCTATCTATTGTTTTGGGGCATCTGGAACTACTGGGAAATACAGTGCTTTCCCAGCTTAACGGTTTGTTTTTCCATTGCACCCTGAAGCTACACAGTGCAATGCCAAGAGAATACTAATTCAGCAGTATAAATTAAAAATAGGATTCTCGTGACACAAACTGCATAAGTATGTTTTACTTGTATAATTATTTTGCAGCACTGATGTGTCTCTGTTATGAAATCTTTCCAAATTGTGCGACATTTCTTATATGGCCAGTATGCAGAGGCAAGCAGAAGTAAAATTATTAAAATTGTTATTGAAAAATGAATCGGTATTTTTTTTAGGGGAGGGTGTTGCCAACCATTTCTTTGTAATTATCTTTGATTTATTTTTTCTTTAGAACAAACATAAGTAGATATTTTCAAGTATGACTTCAATAGTGTAAAAGCCAGAACTGCAGTCAGACTGTAATTTAAAAAAGTTTCAGATTCATGTTGTCCTCATGCAAGAGTCATAACAATCTTCTCAGTAACGCCCCACTATTAGAAATGCAACTGAAAACAAGTACTTAAACTATGCTTTAAATAAGACTCTGACGCAAGTATTGGCTTTTCCTTACTATCGGACAGAGGGGTGGTGTTTTCAACAAAGTATTATCACCCTCAAAGCACCAAGGGCAGCAACTACCAAGTTTTTCAAATTCAGACAACTAGCCTTCCAGAGAGCATTAGGACAGAATAATCAGCTTTTGGGAATCCAGAACACTATGAGTGGCTGGTAGCAATCTATCCTCAGGTAAGGCCCAGCAGTTATTTACCACAATATAACTACTAAGTTATTAGTAAAACTTGGTTATTAGAAAGAACAGCAATCAAAAGTCATTGAAAAAGTTCTAAGAGCCAGACCACACAAGGAGATAAGGGATCCAAGACCATAAACCATCAGTTTAAGGAAGAAATTAATTAGAATTACTCTAAACATGTTTCTTACTTTATCAAAATGGACAGAAAATAAGGCACAAAGATAAGAAGTATGTGAAGAAAAGATGCAGTCCTAACATACGCATTTATAATCAGATGATCTAGAAATCTACTCAGTTAATCAGCTTTTTGTGGAGGTCTGAACAGCAGCATATCCTTCTTCTCACACTGCTCTCAGTTGTGCCTGAGTCTGCCTAAGCTGAAATGATTCTTAAACTAAGGGTCTTAAGAGCCTTCAAAATAACTTCTTCAAAACCAAGTAAAACAGGGCCTACCAGCCACCTGAGCTTTTTCTCAGCTCAATTTACTTGAAGTATTCCTTAAGATAGCTATTATCATCTCTGAAATGCGTCTACTCAGCAATTAGCCCTGGCCTGACAAATCAATGGGGTCTAATATCCATTTATTTCTCTCACAGAACAAAATGATAGGGGCGACTTCTGAGCACTTTCTCTCAGTCTGCCTGTTTGTCGTATGGATACTTCAGTTCCCTATCCTAGTAAAGTTTCAATAAGACAATGGTCATTCATAATAAAGAACTTTAAAATATATTGGATGGGGTAAACTACTGATAAGTTTGATAAAATTACTCTATCTCCTGCGTACTTGGATGAAAGGACAAGTACATGGGGAAGAGCACATGTTCTTTCTACAAACACCACTTATTATCAGGACATAATGTATTTTGTCTGTAATACACCAGTAGTAATGACAGCAATGGTGAAGCAGGGATGAGAAGAGTTAAATGTGGGACATTCTTCACTGGGTTTGTTCATGCCTGTCTGTCATGAGCCTGGTCTCTTGCCCTGACACCAAAACCAGGGGCAGAAGGCCCTTAACTATGCTGGGAAGAAAACTCTCCTGACTCTATGGGAGGAAAAAAAAAATAAACAAAACAGGGAGACTAAATCATAGGGAAAAAAAAAAAAATGAAGTGGTTTAACTATCCTGACTCCAAGTGAAGCCATCAAAGCTGAATATCTACAAAATCATGCCCTACAGAATGGGAGGAATAATTTCATCAAAAGATACAGATCTGAATCCTTACCTTATGGGATACTAAATAATTCCTGGCTTTCCAGCTCGTCCTTACTGCTGTAAGAGTTAAGTGCTCTTCCTGGCTCAAAAGGTCTCAAAAATTCAGAGAATTTAGACAACAATGAATGAAAAGAGACCTGCAGCTAGCTGAACAAGTTCACACATCAGAAACCAATCATTACATTGTCTATTACGCACCTGAATGTTTATTACTTGACAGCTATAAAAGTACTTTGATTTCTTTATAGGCAACCAGTGTTCTTTGTTAATAGCTATTAAAAGTTACTGATATCAACCCAATGTCCATCACAGTTTTATTTCATAACAAGTAGATTAAATCACACATCTACTGACCTTGATAGATCAGCCACGTGAAATTCTTATATTTAATACTCATTCTGATTAATCTTGATTTCCTGCCTTAGAAGTTTTCTATTTGAATTATGCTGGTCATCAACACTGAGCTAGTGCCTACTCATATGCAAACAAGAAGGTAAAATCTACAGTCCTGAGATTGTTAACAGTGCTGAGGAATCATGTTTACCAAAACCATTATGGATTTAAAAAGGCCTATGTGTTTGACGATACAGATTAGTCTCCAAAACTTATTAGGGAAGATGCTTATCTTACCGTTTAACTCCTCTTCCCCACACGCTATTTATTGCTTTAGGTCTTGACCACACAAACACTTGCATATACTTGATTTTGTGGCATTGTTCTCGACAGCAGCTTGAGTGGCACGAGTCTCCAGGATCGCGGTCTTAAGCAGGAACAACTCCTCCTTTGCTGAGTCAGCTCACAGTGAACAAGTTCCTTCGATAACATGAGAAAGACTGGAGAAATTAGAAGAATAGTAACCTGTGAAGTAACTATGCTTGAAACAGGTGGATCAAATGACTGATATCTGATATCAAAACCTTCTGTATTATTCAAAAGAATTACACATTTTCATGAAATGCCTAAGAGCTCCAGTTCCCCAACCCTCTGGACATGTTGACCGTAGTCAACCCTGAAAATGTACTGTGGATTACCATGTGCCTGTGTTACCATTTTTTCCAAAATGTAAAACCTACAACATTGCTACAGTTACGTGGTTCAGCATCTCATGGCTATGCAAACTCTTATCTACACACTCTACCTCTATGTGTTGTTCACATGGTATTTTCCTGGAAAGCAAGGCTTGTGCTTGCTTTGTTTTCTTTGATATAAACTAAGTGGAGTGGATTCATACATCAAGAAAAATATAATTGGATGAAGTCAAAACACCAGAAAAATAGTAAAGTGAACGTGAAAGAAAATGACTGAAATAACCTGGAAGATAAATCTTGTTTTCTCACCATGAATGATAGGTTCTGTGATATACAGGACACCAGGAACTAGCTCCAAGATTTTTCATGCTTTAAGCAAATGGGCAAATACTCATCTTTCCCTTCACTAACATTCTACTGCATTTTTTCGCTTTGCTATTCTTTTGCTCCCGTAGTAACGCTCAGAACATCCTCACCTGCAATATAGTTAATAAAACAGGCAAGGGCTCCGCTTCTTCTTATTCACATGTTTAATTTTACAGAGATGAGAACAGCCTGGGACTGTTACCATCAGCAGGATCAGTAGAATCACATCTGTACAATTACGAGAGCCTTATACAGATTTTGGTGGTTTTTTAGTCACACTTTTCCACAAAATCATTAATAATATTGTAGAACTGCATAAATATGGACAAAGAGATGATTATAAAACAGAAGTGGGGAAAAAAAAAAAAAAAAAAAAAAAGAACCTTCCTGACAATCAATCTCTCATTTCCCCCCCCCCCCCCCCCCCCCCCTTTTAATTTTAAATAAAGCTGTCTGCGAATTTGAGCCTAGGGAGACCTTCATTAAAATCAATTAATCAGTCAGCCTCTCTGCTGAATAGCTTTCTGGAGACAAAAAGTCAAAATCGGGTTTGAGAGCCAGGGTGGCGTTTGTGCGTGCGCGACTCGGGCCAACTTTCCCCCCAGGGCCGCAGCCTCACGCCCCTGCCCCGCCTGGGCGGGCGTGTCGGCGGCCGCCGGGCGAAGGCGGGAAGGATCCGGCCCGCGGGCGGCGACCGGCTGCCGGAGCCCACCGGGCGGCGGGGAGACCCCGCTGCCCCCCGAGGCCTGGCCGGCCGCGGGGCGCGCAGGTGGCCCGGGCCTCCGGCTCGTCAGCGGGCAGGTGAGGGCTGCGCCCGGCGGCCTCGGCTCCCCTCAGGGAAGAAGCGAACCGCCCCTCGCTTTAGCGACCTAGGCGAGGGCTGGCTGCTTCCCGCCCCCCCCCCCCCCCCCTCCGGTGCGGCGAAGGTAACGGCCGCGTTAGGAACCAACTCCCGGCGGTCGGGAGAGCCCACCCAGGGCGGCCACCACCTTCCCGGCCCCAGCACCTACCCCCGGGGGCCGCTCCCCTCCCCTCGCCCCGCCGGCCGCTACGGCAGTCCCCGGCCCCCCGCCAGCCCTAGGCTGAGGGGGAAAGTTAGCGGCGGGGCGCGCCCTCCTCGCCTCCCTCCCCACCCCCGCTGGGTGCCGGCCGGCAGCTTCCGCCGCCCCCGCGGGCAGGCGGCGCGGGTGTCCCCCGGCGGAGGGCGGCCCGGGTGCCCTGCTCCTCCCGCTGCCGGCGGCCGCCGCCGGGGCAGCACAGCTGTTACAGAGCCGCGCTGGTCCCTCCTCCCAGCTGCGGCTGCCTCATCTCCCCCCACCCAGCCCGTCCCTCCCCTCCGCCGCTCCCGACGCTGCTGCTGCCGCCGCCGCCGCCGCCGCCACCTCCTCCTCCTCCCCACCCCCACCCTCTCTCTCTCCCTCCCTCCCTCTCGCTCCCCATCTCTCTCTCGCCGTCCCGTTCCCCCCCTACCCCCGCCTCTCCCCGCCCTGCCGCCGCCGGCCCTGGCAGAGCAGGCACCGCAGGGGGATCTCCATGTAACACCATGACAGGCATCGCCGCCGCCTCCTTCTTCTCCAACGCCTGCAGGTTCGGGGGCTGCGGGCTCCACTTCCCAACCCTGGCGGAGCTCATCGAGCACATCGAGGACAACCACATCGGTGAGTGCCCGGCGGGGCCGGGGCCGCGGCCAGGGCAGGGCAGGGCGGGCGGCGGGGGCGCCCCGCGGCGGCGGGCACGGAGGGGGTGGGGTGGGGTGGGGTGGGGTGGGGGGGGGCGTGGGGGCCGCGTGTGCGGCGGCGTGGAGGGGGGCACAAGGTGTAGCGGGAGCCGGGGAGCGGCGGCGGCCGCCCCGGGGGAGGCAGGTTGGCGGGCGAGGAGTGGCAGGAGCGGTCCTGCGGGCGACGTGGAAGGGCTCCTCGGGGAGGCGGCGTGCGGCGCGGCGGCGGCGCGGGTGGGTGCGGGGGTGGCGTGCCGCCCGCCGGCCCTGGCGAGGGGGAGTTAGTTTGCATTGGCAGGAGGGAGCGCCGAAGCCCGGAGGAGGCGGTGGAGGAGGGAGGAGGACGGGCACAGCACGCCGCCTGCTGCTTCCGCCCCGGCTCTGGCTGTCAGGGCTCCGGGGAGGGAGGGAGGGAGGGAGCGAGCCGCCGCCGCGGCAGCCATTCCGCTTCCTCCTCCTCCTCCTCCTCCTCCTCCCGCCGCCGCCGCTGCGTCCTGTCAGCACTGTTGCTAGGTGTGGTGGGGAGGACGGGTCGCGCTCCGGCCGCCGCAGCGCGGGAGGCGCCGCTCGGCGGAGGGACGGCGTGAGGGAGGCCGGGGCCGGCGGCGCGGTGGGCGTGGAGGGAGGGCCCGCGCCGCCGGTGCACGGCCAGCGGCCGCGCCGGGACCCGCTGCCGTTAAGCCGCGGAGCCCGGGCCAGGCCGCGCTGTATCATCACCTGTAGGCTCCCGCCGCCGCCCCCCTCCCCTCAGCCGCCGGTCCCGCCGGGGCCGCGGGGGCGGGGACCCCGCCGGGCCTGCGGGGCGATGACTCGTCAGTGCCTTCCCGGCGAGGGCGCCTCATGGGCGGCGGGCGGGAGCGTGCGCAGGGGCCGCCGGGGCCGCCCCTCGGCAGCGCGGGCGGTGCCCGGGGGAGGAGGGGGCGGCGCGGCTCCCGCCCGGCCGCGGGCGCCAACTTTCCCTCTTCCCCGCTCCCCGCCTGCGGCGGGACCGGCCTGCCCGCGCCCGGCCGGGCCTCAGGCGTGCCGGCTCTGCCGCCCCGGCCGCTTCGGGCGAAGCGGCTCGTCCCCAGCCCGGGCATGGCGCTGCCGCCGCCCCGCGCCGTCTCTCCTCGGCCTCGGCAGGTGTGCTGCCCCGCCTGCTAGGCTGCTGCCCCTCTGAAACTGCTCGGCTTTCTCTCTTTGCTAATAAAAACGCAGTGCTGAAGCTGGCAGAAATCGAGCTAGTTCTGTGAGGCAGGCCAAGTTCTAAAATCGGGGGAAAGACACAAAAGTTTTAAGCGGCCGGGGACCAGAGACTCCCGCGTTTCACTAGAAGTATGAGGAAACAACATGCTGCTGCAAAAGCTAGCGTGCATTTCAGTTTATTAAGTTTTAATAGGCAGGCCTGAATGCCTGAAGATAATCACTGAAGCTTAAATTGCGAGTGTAACGTTACATTAATGTAATGTTACAGGTCAGCGAGATGAAAGGTGTGGTTCTCATAATTATCACGATGCCTAGTATGAGGTAACAAAACCACATACCACAAAACTCTGTAATTTATGACTCGACGTGGTGCAAGCGTACTGTTGTGATATTGTTGGGGTTTTTTTTTAATCTCAGATTCTTTGCTTTTCCTACACCGTGCATCACGTAACACCAGAAAAGCTTAGCGGAAAGAGGTTCCCAAAGTGAAAGTTCTAAGTCATCTTGTGTGTCTCAAGTGGATTATCAGCCCCTAGGTGCCACAGCCCACAGGATGTCAGGAAAGATACAGTCCGGCCTGTGTGGTCTGTGCGTTGCTGTTTAATTCCCGACAGGCAGTTCTGAGACTTCTCTGCAGAGAGGAGAACTTTATGCTAAAACACTGTCATTGCTTAATAACTGTATATTTAATTCTATAGCCAGTATTCATTACTTTTTTTTCTTATCTCAAAGTTAAAGTATTACAGGGTGAACACCCACATAGGTTCAACTGAGCGTGTCATTTGCCAGGACTTGCAGGACACAACTGAAACTTTGCACGTATGATGTCTCACATGCAGCTGATTGAGTGCAAGCTGGTGGAGAATGATGTCAGGTTGGTCGTGCTCCATCTTTAATGTTTATCCTCAGCGTGATGGCAGGTTAAACTCGATCTGCTTGTGAATACAAGATGCGGGTACGTTATGTTACTCACCTCTATCAAACACTGGAAAAATCAGTAGGGAGCTGCACCGGTGACACCAAGTATGGATCCCAGATACCACGTGGAGGCTCAGCTTTACGGTTTGGTGCATGTGAGGGGCTTCTGGCACAGCCTGAAGGATGAGAATCTGTGAAAACTCACCAGATAAGCGCTCAGCCAAAAGGTGATTAACCTTTCTGAAGGCAGCTGGGGAATAAAGGAGTAAACGTCTGAATAGGAGCCTACGTTGGAATTACTTTCTCAGTTATTCTGACACAAACAGCATCCAATTTTTGCTGTCATCCAGTTCTAGAAATGTGCACTGAAATTTGTTCCTTTAAAAATTGACTTGTTTTTGGCATACAGAGCAAAGAGTAAGATGCCATATAAAAAGTACATTGTTTTGGGCAGCCTGTGTGTGCTGCAGGAATAAAGAAAACTTGATTGAGTTATATTCTGTTATTAGTTTAAATTGAAGTGGGCGATTGCTGGGCAGACAGTGTTACAGTGCAGATAACAGACTGGATGCTGCAAACGGCTCTGTGTGGGGAGGCGTGTATGGCACGGGCTCTTGGTGCTCTGGCTGCTGCAATGCTGCCTCTCTGCTGCATTTCACAGGATGGGTTAATAATAGTTCACACTATCAGTGGAGTGCTGGTAAGAATTTGGTTGGTTTTCAGAGCTGTATCGCGTCTCTGAAAAAGTGGGAACAAACACTTATCAACGGATCTTTTTTGGTCAACCTTGCAAATCAAGCTTGACTTAGTATACGGAAACACTGTTCTGGGAATAGAATATATTTGGTTTCTGAGGGATTCTGTAGTTGCTTTCCTTACTCATAATACTCATGAATATTCATATGGTAATGAAATAATCCAGTGTACAGTGGTTTGGGGTTTTTTTTCTCCCACATTTTAGTGGCTGCCTGATAAATTACCAGTTACTTGAAAAAGTATCAGTGCAGATAACCCGAGAGAGTTGTGCCTATTGAAATATTCCACTCAGGTGGTGCTACACGTGCCCATCAGCATATCAGCTGCTTTCTGGGTTTTGCATTTAAGTATTTAAGACTTGTGAAGAATTAGGCTAGCTCAGGAGCACTGCTCTGGGGTCTTCTGTAAGGCCCTACTGGTGTCTTCTGCCACGAGACCGTGTTCTGCAGGAGGAACTCTTTAGGTCTGTAGCAATACCATCAAACAGTGTATTCATGTCTTCTGTGGCTCACAGGTGAAAACAGACATTGATTTAAAGCTGCTGCTAAGTAAATGCTTCTCTCTGAGCTTTTTCTACCAGCATGTTGTCCAAGCAACCTGAAGTGCTGTTACCTTCTCTGCAAGTGTGCCAAGAAGCGGGGGCTTTTAGTCTGCCTTGCTAGGCCGTCTCCCTGCCTCTTGGTTTTGGCTGCTCCAGTCCCTTGCAGGTAGTTTGTCTGACTTTTCTGATGTCTCTAGTCTGGGAGCAAAAGGCCTAATTTGCTTCTGTTTGCCAGATTCACACTGTAGAATGGAATGGACTTAATGCAGTCAATTCCCCAGAGTACTGTCAAGAGGAGGGCAAAAACCAACCAAACAAAAAACCCCCAACCCTGAACTGCTGAGTATTCAATTGTGGCAACATGGCAAATTTTACTGCATTTCTGCAGTCCTGGTAGTGTCTTCAGCTGTGATGTTAGGAACAGCACCTCTGGTTCCGCAGAGTGTTTCTGAAATGATGTTTAAGTCATAACTTGGTATAAGTAATCTTTCGGGGCATTTTCAGCTGTTCATGGAAATCTAGAGGGTCACACACACTTTGGTTTCTCATATTTTTTTTTTTTTAGGGGGGCAGAGGGCAGGGAGGGGGAGCTTTCTGTCCCATCCTGTCTTTCACCCTTCCTCTGCCACAATTTGATTCTTCCTCATTCTACCCATAGCTGAACTGCGTACTCTAGAGTGGGGGATCAAGTAGCTTCTTAAAGCTCATTGCTAATACAAAGTTTACTATGGTGCTGAAGAGCCAATATTTAAACTGAATCTCTTAATCAGATGTTGTGAATATCAGTTTAAGTTTTGCTTTGTATTTATAGCAGAAGGGTATTTTAAATCACGTGTGCAGATGAGACTGTTGCTTGTATGAGCCACTGTGCATTCACTTGGTTCATGGTGAGTACTGACATCCTCCCGCACCTGTGTAGCTGTGCGGCTGCTGCGAGCAGTCCTGCTTCTGTGAGGCTTCATCGAGCATTAAGGAAACGGATGTGAATGAAATCAGTGTCTGAACATATGTTGGCCTGAAGAGATGGAAGAGTGGATAAGAAGAGATACAAAAGATAAATCTGAAGACAGTATTACCTTAGTGGAAGTAGAGATTGTTAATTGTATTGCACTGAAGCTGCTAGAAGAATTTGAAGGGAAAATTAAAAAACAAAACAAAACAAACAAACAAAAAACAACCCCCCCCCAAAAAAAAACCAAAAAAACCCCAAAAAACCCTAAAACAACCAAACCAAAACCAACTGCTTACACAGTTATTATACAAACTGAGATGATCTACTGTCGTTGAACATTTCGTCTATAACTTTGTAGGAAGTCCTGGTATTCAGTAGCATCCAGTGAGCTCTTTGTGTAGTATTGCTGTCGGAACTGGGAGCTATGATGCTTCTCATCAAAGTTGACTGATTCCCAAATATTAGAATGGGTCCCACAACAAAACAGTACTTTCCGTGGGAGCAGAGGCAGCTGCTTTCCTAAGTGACCAGATTAGTAGGAAAAATAAAACTTCTGCAGTAAAAGAGTATTTGCAGAAGACAGACCAAA